GTTATAATTGCATCAGTGATTCACGACAATCACCAGTAGTTACTGTGCAAGGACACAGTCTGTTTGATGGTAATGAAACATTACCCCAGTTCATAGCACCAGTCATATTCATTCATCATATCGGTCTCCACTTACGGCGCGACTTTATCAGGAGCCAGTCGAGTCGAGTCATGGAACTGTGAGCACTGTACTGTTTGTACTCATCTGTTCGTATCACAGCAGTACAGACAGACATGAACAGGTGTTAAACTGATGCCATGGCTGGGAGTAGAGAAACAATAAGAAAAATATGTTTAATACATAGACGTTCGTTGTCAATACACGCCAACGATATTTAAACTCCGTCCTTAGACTAGATCAAAACTTTCTGTTTGGAGTACAAGCGCAGTTTTCAATCTTCAAAGTTTTCAAGTGTTTCTTGCCACTTTTACTTCTCTGTAGATTTCACACACCACAGAGATGAGTTACCACAGACACAGTTTTGCGCCTCGTCAACCATACCTTGATTGACGTCAACAAATCGTGAGGTTTAAACATGACTTGAGTCTTCTTCGTGTTCATTTTCACTCCAGCTTTAACGCTGGCATTCAGAACTTCGATTCTTGTTTGGAGATCTTGTGGTAACCTTGACGATCAAAATGTCGTAAACCGCAAGAGGCTTAAATAGTGTTCATTTATTATCAAACCCCGATTTTCCAAATTGAGTGTCTTATCTTGAAATCCATTTCTGAGGCTGATGCAAATAACTTCCGCGGTGATACTGTATCACTCTGTTAGATTCTATCACCATGTTGTGCTTTAGTCGTGCTTTAGCCAGACTTCCCACTAGCGACAAAAATATTGCAAATCGTCGAAAATTAACCGTTCTCTTTTGAACCGGCCTAGTGGCACAGTTCCCTTGCTTGTAGTCGAATAGGGGACCATTTTCGCAGGCCATGGCTCCATGATATTTGTGCATCTGCAGTGCATGGATGCAAAAGCGCATCACTACGCAGGGCCAGCAAAGGCCTGTTCGGACACCTGCCGATATGCCACTAACAGTAGCATATTCATAGAGAAATATAAACCCGATGCTTTGGGTTTAATAGCACTCTGCTAATTATCGATACCCCCGCTAATGGAAAATTATGTCGCTGTTTTTTCATGATCCTGTGGCTCCTCAAGAAACCCATTACAGAACGGATGTACACTGAATCGAAAGTCTTCTCGCAATCGATGAAAACCAGGCAAAGAGACAATAAGCTGATATTCGTTTCGTGTCTTGTCTAAATTACCGTGAAGGTGAGAAATTTTTCCAACCAAAATATGTATTGCCACGTGGAAGAACCAATCTGTTAGAAAATATCTTCTATACGTGTTATTAAAACAAAACATTAAATGGCCAGTAGAAATTTCAATAAAATACGAATACGAACTCTGTGCGAATTGCATGCCAAACGTTTTACGCTTTATGGCTTGATTGAGCGCAGCGGCTACAGACAAGAACAAGCAAATGCAACCACCCATTTAACAGTGAAGAATGTACATGAATTCCCAGTGCAAACTTAATACTAGTTTAGTTTCCCATAAACCTACATTCTATGCCTCGTTAAGTAAAAC